ATTATCTGACAAAGAATTTGCAGTATTCATCACAAAAATCCATTGACAAGCAATTGCAAACATAATTTTGATAGAAGTAAAATACAGAGTCTCAGAGAAGAAACAAGATGCACGAATCAAGTGAAATTTCAAAACTAAAACATCTACAAACCAAAAATAAAAATCTCGATGGATGGGTGGAAAGAAGAAAGAAATAGGGAAAAAATGAACAAAGCTTCTGAGTACATAACAACAGAGTTTCAAAACACATGAAGTAAAACCTGATACAATTTCGAGGAGATATAGGCAATTTTACAAATCCAATTGCATATTTCAATAACTCCCTCTCAATAATTCATATGACAAGTAGACAGGAAATCAGTAAGGACATAGTTTAACTCAATAACCACATCAATCAATTGGATTTAATTGACATTTGTAGAATGCCCTGTCCAACAACAGCACAGTGCACATCCTTTACAAGTGCACATAGAATGTTTACCAAGATAGACCATGTTCTGGGCCCACAAAATAAGTCCCAGGTAATTTGAAAAGTTTCAAGTCCGCTGTGCTTGGTGTTGCACATCTGTACTCCCAGCAATCAGGTGGCTGAGTCTGGACTGTGAAGCTACATAGCATATTCAAGGTCAGCCTGAATTATGTTGCAACACTCTATCTCAACAGAAGAAACAGATCCATGTCATAAAAAAATGTATTCTTTGAACACTATGGAGTTATTTTAGACATTAGTAATAGAAAAATACCTAGAAAATCTTCACAGGTTTGAAAATTGCATAAGAACCTTTTAAGTAACCAATGGCCAAAGAAGAAATTAAAGGAAAATCAGAAAATGTTTAGAACAGAATAAAAATGAAAATACAATGTATCAAAGTGTGTAGGATAGCTGGGAGTTTTGGCTCACAGCTGTAATATGAGCACTCGGGAGACTGAGGCAGGAGGATCACTGTGAGCTCAAGGCCAGCCTGGGCTACAAAAGGAGTTCAAGGCCAGCCTGAACTACATAGTGAAACCCTGTCTCAAAAAGGCAAAAACAAAAAGCAAAATGTGTAGGATGTGGCAAAGCAGTATTTAGGGAAAAATTTAGCACAGTAAGCATTTGTATTAGAAACGAAGAGCTTCCTAAAAGTACTTAGAAAGAAATATGAAAACTACAGTCAGCAAAAATATGAAATAATAAAGATAGATCCAGAAAAAATGAAATAGTAAAGAGAAAATTAATAAAACAATAGCTGATATGTACAGGTCAAAAATCAATATTCTTCTAGCCAAACTGATCAGAAAAAGGAGGAAAAACCAACAATTCATAAGACTAGTGATATCAATACAGATATTAAGTAAAAATAAAGGGATATTATAAACAATTTTTTCCTAAAAAGTCAACACTTAGATGAAATGAATATATTCACTGAAAGACACAGTCTACAAAAGCTCACTCAAGAAGACATACATAATGAGATTAGCAGTGTATCTATTATAGAAACTGGATTTTCTCTTCCCCCAAGGAAATTCAATTCTATCAATTCTACTCAAACTCTTCCAGAAAAATGAAGAAGGAGGAATCCTTGAAGAGCATTACCAAAACATGACAAAGCTGGTATGTGAAAAGTACAAGTCAATGTTCCTCATGAACTTAGATGCAAAGTTACCAAGGGAAATTTTAGCAAATTGAATCCAATACAACAAAGGAAAAGGATAATGCATTACTACCAACTTGTGCTTACCTCAGGAATGTAAGGAGTTTTTAATACTTGAAAATCAATTAATGTAATTCACCATACCAACAGAGATGAAGAACCATATGATAATCTCAATAGAGGTAGAAAAATCCAACGTCTGTTTCTGATAGACTCAAAACAAATTCGGAATAGAAGGGATGTTCATCTTGACAAAGAGCATATATTTCTACAATCATTGTTTATTTAAAAAATACAAAAAAATCATTGTTTATGTAGAAGATTGAATGCTTACCTCTTAAGATCGTGACAAGACAAAGATGTCTGTTCTCATTTCTTGTACTCTGTGCTGTACTAGAATCTGTAACCAGAACAGTTAGCTAAATAAAGAAATAAGAGACATCTATATCAGAAAGAGAAGAGTAAAACTGTTTTTAATGACAGATGACATGAAAATTTATGTAAAAAATGTGATGGAATCTACAAAACAGTTACTAGAATAAGTGAATTTAGCAAAGTTGAAAGAGTTTTTCTCATAGAAAAATCAATGTATTTCTCTATACCATTACTCAATAATCAGAAATTTAAACTTAACATAATTTATAATAACATCAAAAGTATGAGCTACTTAGCAATAAATCTGACAGAAGATACGCAAAGACTATACACTGAAAACTATGAAACATTAGGGAAAAGAATTAGAAATATCTAATTAAAATTACAATTATACCATGCTTATGGGTTAGAAGACTGAATACCATTAAGAGGCCATTTGTCTTAAAATTTTTCTGCAAATTCAACACAATTCTAATAAGAATATTAAAAGACTTTTTAGTGGAATTTGACAGTATGATTCCAAAAGTATATGGAAATGCAAAGAACCTAGAATACCCGTAACTACCTTGAGAAAAACATAGGAGAAAAAGTAGCAATATCTAACTTTAAGGCTTATTATGAAGCTGCAGTAACCAAAACAGTATGTTCCTTGCATAAAGATGGTCAAACAGATCACTGAAGCCAAATAGAGAGACCAGAAATAGACCTATAAGTTTATGTACAACTGATTATTTTCTGTTGTTTTTCTGAGACAGGGTCTTATTATGTATTTGAGGCTGGCCTTGAACTCACTCTGCAGTCTGGGCTCCCTCAAACTCACAGTAGTCCTCTTGCCTCAAGCTTCTGCATGATGGGATTACAGGTGTGCACTCCCACCCCCGGCCCATATAAGTGATTTAGACAAAGGTGTAAAGGCAATTCAGTGGATGGGGGGATGTAGCCTTTTCAACAAATGGTGCTGGACTCATTGGCTATCCAAACTTACACAAATGAACTTTAATCCATATCCCATGCTTATGTAAAAATTAACACAAAATGGAACATAGACTTAAATATAAAACCTAAAACTGTAAAAGCTACTGAAGACAACATAGCTCAAAATATTTTTAACCTTGTATTTGGTGATACCTAGGTTTTAAAATGGGGGAAGGACTTAAGGAGAAATTTTAGCAAAGAAGATATACTTTTGGCAAATAAGTGTGTGAAAATATGCTTGGCATTAATAGTCTTTATTTTTTTTTTAATTTTTTTTTATTTTAAAGAATAAAAGAAGGATAACATAATAATAGGGGGGACTTAGCAAATTACAGACAAAATGGTAGGAAATTATCAATGGTTATCATTTTACATATTATTGTCTACAAAATAGTTTCTCAGGAAAACAAATAGACAAATAATAGTGAGTTACAGACAAAAGAGGTAGGGGCATTACTAGTCTTTAAGAGAATGCAAATTAAATCACAATGAGATACTCTTCAAATATTAGAATGTCTAAAGCTAAACAGACAGCATATCAATTGTTGGTGAGGATGTGGAAAAGATGGAAGACTTACACACTGCTAGTAAAAATGTGAAATCTAAACCAATTTGGAAAACAATTTAATAATTTCTTGAAAACTTAAAACATAAACCTACTATATGATTCAGCCATTTCACTCTAAATTATCTATCCACAAGAAAAGAAAGATATATCAATACAAAGACTTGTATATAAAGATTTGCATGAGTTTTATTCATAATAGCTAACAACTAGAAACAACCTGTTTTAGAACTCAACCGGAGAAATAGAGCTAGTAAGAAATATAATTTGGAGATTTATTAAAAGGAATGGATTTTGGTAATTGTGGGGCCAAGTGGGCAAGTTCAAACCAATTGGGTTGAGCTTCACCTGGTGGCACACTCCTATAATCCTAACACTGAGGAGGCTGAGGCAGGAGGATTGCTGTGAATCTGAGGCCAGACTGGACTATACAGTCAGTTCAAGGTCAGTGTGCACTACTTAGTGATACATAGTCTCAAAAACCCAACACCAAACCAAGCCAAAACCAAGCCAAAACCAAACCAAGCCAAAACAAAACAAAACAAAACAAAACACCCAATAGGGCTGTCCGTTAAGAAGGGCAGGCTGAAACCGTGGGCATGAATTAAAGCAACAGTCCATCGGTAGAATTTGTTTCTCCTCAGGGATGCCTTAGATCTGCCCTTATGGCATTTCAAATGATTGGATCAGGCCCACCCAGATAATGTAGAATAATTTCTTTACCTAAAATCAACTGATTGTGAATATTAATCATACCTACAAAATATTTTCAGTGCAAAATCTAGATTTATATTTAATGGAGTATTTGGGGATTATAGTCTCATTAAGTTTGACACGTAAAACTTACCATCCCATAACCTAAATATTCTCAACAGATGGGTGGATTGACACCTTGTGCAGCATCCATACAATGCAGTAAAGTTCATCAACAAAAAGAATGAACTATTGATACAGGCAACAATAAGGGTGAAACTCAGAATAATTATGCTGAGTGAAAGAACCTATATAGAAAGAGTACATACCATATGGCTCCATTTTCATAATATTCTACCAGTGCCAACTCATCTATTGGGCCAGAAGGTAGATAGTGGTTAGCTGAGGAGATAAGTTAGATGGCAGAGTAGGATAGAAGCAAAGATCATCAGGAAGCTTGAGGAAATCTGGCGCTGTGTGTGTGTGTGTGTGTGTGTGTGTGTGTGTGTGTGTTTTATGTGTTTCTTCTTTTCTTAATGATTTCACAGGTGTACACAAGGCAAAACTTAACAAACTTTATATTTGATGTAAAATTATGTCAACTTTACCTCAATAAATCTATGAAAATTAAAACTAAAAGCTAATTAGACACCACAGAATTAACCTCGCAACTAAGTCATATGTTATCACCTGCGGTTTGAGAAATACTATGTCAGAGGTTATAAACACTATTGCTTTGTTTGTTGGTTTGTTTGCAGGCCATCACTCATCTTATTCCTACTTGAGGGGGATCTCTCAAGGTGTGAAATATTGGTGGGACACAGCACCCAGCTTCATCCACAGAAGTGGAAGGATACATCTCCTGCTTCCCCTCCCTCTCTTGGGACTGTGAATCCAGAACAACTGACAGACAGTTTGACAGGAATGGTTAGTATCTAGTTGCAGTTTCGATAATACATAGCCTTGGGCAGGGTGTCTCACAGACTACTCCAGCTAGAAGAAGGTGATGTGCTTCTTGGTGGTTCCTAGGACCCCTTCGGTGCAGGTCATCTTCCAATCTTGGCCATCCAGTTTCCCTTTGATTCCAGAAGCCCCTTCACCTATGACATCCTTTCATTAAATTATTTGGGGGATTTTTTGTTTGATTAGATTATCAGTTTGTTTCTGCTGTTTGCAATCAATAACCTTGATAATTCAGAGAAGGCGAAAGGGAGAATTACAGAGAAAAAGTTCTGGAATACCCACTAGACCTCAACCAAGCAGAAACCAAATATCTCTTTTACCTAATAAAATACAAAACCATTGACATGAAACCTTGGAGTCCCATGACTTAGGATCGGGGTAAAGAAAGTATGTTCAGCAAATATCTAGTTCATTCCAGGTGCACAGGCTGTGATCTTATCTTCAAAGACTTTCCCCACAGGGCTGACTTGGGTGGGTGGGCACTGAGTTTTGTTTTTCCTTTCTCTTGTCAGTAATGGTTTGCAGAGAGCAGAGAGAGTGGAATTGGTTCTTTGGGTATGAGAAGTGGGGCAAAGGCAGAGTCAGCCAGGACTTGAACCTTCTTCAGTGTGACCCAGAGATTAGGCAACTTTCCAAACCCTAGTACAGTTTTTTTAAACTTTCCCTTTCCCTTGGGGTGTGGGACATGCTTGAAAATTCTTACTCAACAGTATGGCTTCTGGGAATCTAAGCAGTGCTTTCCTTTGTACATTGCACATAGCAAATGATAATATTCATATAACAATGAGAAATAGATACATAGGCTGCTTGCAGCCCAGAGTGACGAATCTGGAGAATTATCTGCAATTCTGGCACATGGATTAGGAGGCTCCAACCTAAAACACTCAAGATCAAATTCTCTGTGCGACCATTGCAAGCCCTCTACAACCTGTCCCAGCCTGCTGTTTTTCCATTACTGCATTACATATGTCCACAGCTTCTACCTAAACTATCCCTTTTTCTCTCTCCAACCAAATTTATTCACTTGAGTCTGTTGGTTTTCAAATTGTGATCCAAAGCCAGCTCATCAGTTTGAAGGAAGTAAGAACCAAACCAGGAAAACATTAGAAGCACTGCTCTGGTCCACAACGATCTCTTCCTCCCCTGATCCTGTCTTTTCTTTTTTTCTTTCTTTCTTTTTTTGTTGATGTTTTTATTTTTATTTAGGATCTTGCTATGTAGCGCAGGCTGGCCTCAAACTTATGGTGATCCTCTTGCCTCAGCCTCCTGAGTGCTAGGATTATAGGTGTGTGCCACCACATTGGGCTGACCCAGTCTTTTCTTTGTCATGGACGACATTTACCTTTATACTTAAAATTTCTTAGGGTATATTTTGTTTTGTCTTCCCAGTGAGATTTGTAAGATTTTTGAAAGGCACAGAATCTAGTTTATTCTAGGATCTTAACAAACACCTATGGAGCACTTAACAAACACCTGTGGAGTGAATGAATTAATTCAAAATTAAAGTAGCTAGAATTTATTGATTACTAAGTGCCAGGCACCATGCTAAGCACTTTGAAGTTATTATCACATTCAATCTTACAAGAAAACCTATTAAGTAAATACTGTTAATACACATATTATTAATATATTCATTTCACAAATGAGGAAATTGAGGATCAGAATATGGAAGTTATTTATCCAAGGTCATTTACTTAGCCAATAAGTGGCTAGCTGGCATTTAAATTACTATTAGTCTCAAGAGTTAGCATGATTCAGAGAGAGGGAGAATGCTATAAATATTTAAGGTATAGCTCTGAGATACCACATGTCCCCCAGCAGAGGTGACAGATGAAAGATCAAAAATCAAGGATATTCAGTAAACTAAATTTATTTTCAAGGAAGAAAGAAATAGCTGGGCATGGTGGCACATGCCTGTAATCCCAGCAATCGGGAGGCTGAGACAGGAGGATCGCTGCGAGTTTGAGTCCAGCCAGGGCTACAAAGTGAGCTCACGGCTGGCCTGAACTGCACAGCGAGACCCTGTCTCAAAAAGACAAAACAAAACAAAACAAGAAAGAAAGAAATGGAAACTATTGCCAAATTGGGGTTCACTAGTTTGCTCTGTCCTGAAACTCTTATCCATTTAAGGCCTTTCCTAGATATAAAGAAAATTTCTGTTGTCTGTCAAGTGAAATTAGTAACCTGCATTCATTCACAAATTCCTAATTAAGCAAATCCTTAGACTTTTGATCACTTCTACATTATTTGCAAACTGGCAATTTATGTAGAAGCTAGCACAGTGCTTAGCACACATATAGCAGGCACTTAATAAAATATGCATGATCTTTTTGGTGCTAATAGAAAGAATATTTATTGGGTGCCTAATATGTGAAATATTTAAGTGTTTTCAAAGGCCCATACTCACATAGGCCTTACAACTAACTGTTCCTTGAATTAAGTTTGATTGCATTTTAAGAAATGAAGAAACTAAACCTCTCTGATCTGACACCAAAATCTACAGTCTGTATAATACTCATAAGAACAAAAAACATCTAAGCTGATACAAAGAACAAAAAATATGTAAGCTGATACAAATTTTGTTCATATACATTAACAAAAAGAAAAATGGCAACCAGTTCTTTCCAGTACCCTGGAAACAATGCTGCAAATGGAGTTCAGCAGAAAGACAGAATTCATTCCAACATGTAGGAGACCCAACGGTCTCATCAGATTTCAAAGCAGCTTGGAGGACAGATATTCTGCCTCTCTAGAAGCAGAAGTGCTCCTGAACTTGGCTGTTGATCCATTCCACACCAGGTCATGAGAATCTGTCCCACTCCTTTCATCAGGAACCTTCTTGCTTGGTTATAGCAAGTACTGAACAAGTCAATGAGTTGAAGGGTCTTTGGTGGAAAATAGATGAAGTGACTTGACTCCCCCAGAATACTTATTCTCACATTTTCCTATAATAATAGGAAATTTATCTGCATGTGTGAGCACAGCCAAAGACTACATTCACCAATATTCCTTGTAGGTAGAAATGGCCTGTGACTATGTCCTGGCCAATAGGACATAAGTAGAAGTGATACGTTAAATTGTGATATGATAAATTGTGATATGATAAATTGTACCTTTGAAAAAGGAACTATGGGTAGGCCCCCGGAAGGAGGGTTTCCGGCGCACAGGGAGCCACAGGAGGGGAGTGCCAGTCTTCCGGCTGGCTAACTTCCTGCCTCGTAGGCTCCCAGAGGGAGGGCCCCCAGTGCATGGGGAGCCTTGGGCGGGGAGCGCCGGTCTTCTGGCTGGCTAGCTTCCTGCCTCATAGGCTACCGGAGGGAGGGCCCCCAGCGTACAGGGAGCCACAGGAGGGGAGTGCCAGTCTTCCGTCTGGCTAGCTTCCTGCCTCGTAGGCTCCCGAAGGGAAGGCCCCCAGCGCACGGGAAGCCTCGGGTGGGGAGCACCGGTTTTCGGACCGGCGGCTCACTCCCAGCCTCGTAGGCCCCCGGAAGGAAGGCTTCCGGCGCACAGGGAGCCACAGGCGGGGAGCGCCGGTCTTCCGGCTGGCTACCTTCCTGCCTTGTAGGCACCCGGAGGGAGGGCCCCCAGCGCACGGGGAGCCATGCGGCGGCGAGCGCTGTTGTGTGCCGACCCTTAGGCCGGCCGCCCTCACTCAATTGAGATCTATCATGACACAGAGAAACAGTGACACAATTGGCCCACCATGCACCGACTGCAGTTGCCCACCCACAGATGTGTGTGAATCATTCAAACTTTGAACAACCCCTGGGAATACATGCCATACAACGGGCCACTCTTGCTCCTGCCATTGAGAACCAGAAAGGTCCAGAGCCAGTGGAGGAGCAGCTGCTGAACAAGGACTCAGAGAACATGAGAATGCAGACTAAGCCCATGGAGTCAGAGGTCCAGTGGACTGGGGTCACGAGAGCTGCTCAGAAGCTGTAAACCAGGAGGACCTTGCACAATACCTGCAGAGACTCACTGGAAGCCATTCTTCCCCTAACAGTACAGGCTGTGGTGGAGCTCCGGAGAAGTCTGCAGCAGGATTCCTGCTGCCTGTGCTGACAGTTGGGGAGAGGACACTAACTGGTTGTGGGGTCCCAATGCGATGGGAGGCTGGAGAGAAAACGCTACAAAAAATGGCTTTTGCCCCAGATGACTCACTTGATTTTTGACAACCCTTAGGCTGTAACTACTTGTTAGATCCTTCTTGTGTATCTCTGTCTTCCTGAGAAACCACTTTGAAGATACCACCATGTATTACAGCAGTCATTGATATTTTCCTACTAATCTATCCATAACTCTGTAATGTTTGTATTGTTCCTATCCTATTTCATAAATGGATCCATGTTTATTATTATGTGTTTCCTACAACAACCATTGAGAGTTATTGAATGATTATTCAGTAGGTCACTCATGTATAGTTCTATTTATATTCTTTAGAAGCCACTTTGAAGATACCTAAGTATAGTACAACAACTATTGATAATCTCCTACCTCTTTTGTCTGTAACTCACTATCATTTGTCTATTTGTTTTCCTGAGAAACTATCTTATAGATAACAATATGTAAAACAATAACCATTGATAATTTCCTACCACTTTGTATGTAATTTGGTAAGCCCCTCCTATTATTATGTTATCCTTCTTTTACTCTTTAAAAGAAAAAAAAAAAGAAAAAAAAAAAAAGGAACTATGTTTCTCACTGCCCATCCTAACTCCTTCCTAAAATGTTGGCAAAGTGAGGAGCAACAAAATGGAAGGAATGTATTCTCTTAATATTCTCAAACTTCTATAACAACCTTGGAAAACCTACTCAAACTATTGAGTGAAAAATTAACATCTGTCTTGCTTAATCCAGGATAGTTTAGGATTTCTTTAGCAGTACTGAGAACTGAACCCAGAGCCTTCACACTGAGCTATAATCCCTAGGCCTTTTACTATTCCCCTTCTAGGTATTTTCCTGAAAGAGGTAAAGACATTCTATTACAGTGACACACACATACCCATGGTTACAGCAGCATAACTCGTAATAGGTAAGGCTCAAAAGTGGCTTATATATCCATGAACAAATAAATGGATGAAGAAAACTTGATATTTGTACACAATGAAGTACTACTGTGCCATAAAGAATAAAATTTAGTTATTTGAAGGAAAATGGGTGTACCTTGAGACAGTAATTTTAAGTGAAACAAATTAGATGTAAAAAGTTAAATATATGATTTGTTTTATATGGTGTCTTAGTTACTTTTCTCTCATTGCTGAGACAAAATACCTGACACCCAGAATTAAGGAAGGAAAGGTTTATTTAGCTCACAGACTGTGGATGTTTCAGTCCATACTTAGCTGGCTCCAAGGCAGAGTGGCACATGGCAGAGGCCAACAGTTCATGGCAACAGAAAACAACAAAAGCAGCAAGAGCAAAAAGGGAGGAGCAGCAGCAAACCTCTTTCCCTCTCTCATATTGTATGTAGGTTACCCACCCTAGGGTGGGTGTAGCACTCACACCTATAGTCCAAGCATTGGACCATGAGTCAGTCAACAATTCTAGAAGCCTACCCCATGACTGCATGAGTCTTTGAGGAGACATCTAAACACAAACCACAACATATGAGAAACCCAAAGTATAAATAATTTAGAGAGCAAAGTAAAATATATTAGTGTTTTTTCTGGAGACAATGTCTTGCTAAGTTGCTAAACTGCCCAGGGTGGG